TTAAAAAAAAAAAAAAAAAAAAATGTTATTACAGCCAGATCGACCGATCGGGGGTAAACGAGGGACAAAATAAATAATCACGTGTAATAAAATAGGAAGAAACAAACATGTGGCGCAATGGTTGTTTTTTATTTGGACCCCCGCCGAGTCGAAAGGGCGATGATGGTAGTTTTTCTGCCATACATATACACCCTAAGGACCCAATAAAAGTGTTTCTCCCTTTTGGTGCCAGTACAAGATAGTTAATTCTACCCCCAAAGGGCCGTAAAATACGTATATAATATATATGGCACTACTATACTGAAATAGAGAGGAGAAAAACGAGGGTGAAACAAAATAAACCCCGCCGGGTCTCGTTTGCTATGGAAGAACGGGAAGAGGAGAAAAAGTTAATTCCCCGAGGCGAGACAATTCTGAGGGTGTTAATTGCTTTGCCTCGGAGCTGTTCAGATACGAATTTCTCGGTTACACGCGGTTAATTAGGGGAAACGTTGTTTCGAAATTGAAACATTCCTGCTCCAATGGTTTCTCTTTAATTGACGAGCTTCTCCGAGTCTTTGCATTTCTTCGGTATCGTGCCATCTCTCTCATTAATTTTCTTTTTTCATATATATACATATTCCCAAAGGCTTATTATTATTAACTAATGGTATTTCTATGAATTTTACCGGTTCCTTTAACGCTGACAAGACGAAAAAACAACGAAAACTCACAAAATAAACCTAAGAAAACTATCAGTAAAATGATTGAGTTGAGGTTTTGTTACAAAAAGAAAATTATTTGAAAGACAAAGAGAAAATAGTTACAAAAATGTCGTTTTCGCAAATATAAAATGACTTTCAAGTTTTCAGCTGTATGGATACAATTAAGTTCAAGAAACTCGATAGAAAACAAATTACTATACTCAAAAACTAAAATAAAAGCAGCCAGCCAGTCAGTCAGTGAATCATCACAATAACGACGATTATGGAATAACTTAAAAAAGTTATATCGGTCACGAAAATTAAACTGACTTTTATACAAAAGTTAACCACACACGCTTGACAATAAACGTTAACAAAATAATACTTATTCATAAAGATGAATTATACGAACGCGTTGAGGTCTGCTAAATAAAATGTCATAGGTCGAGAAAAAAAAAACGTGCTGAAAAATATAAACGTTAGTAAAAAAAAAAATGCACTCCACTGGAAACTCGGATGGGATAAAATACTTGGCGTTGTACAACACGCGTTCCAAGTGTGTTTCACAAAGGGGCGATGGCGTAGAATGATTTTAGTACTGCGGCAGAGAAAAGGGTGGTAATTAACAGTAGTTTCGTACAACAGCATGTGGTGTGTACGAGACGACAAAGGGTAACAGAGACGAGGGGGTGTTTTAATAAACGCCGTGTTCGCGTCGTGTATATTTTGCGGCCTTATTAAAACTTCCGAGACACAAATTGACTGGGAACGTTGACGGAGACAGTGTGGAACGGATAGACGGGAAAGTGGTAACAACCGAAGTCGGTATTACGCGAGTAGACGGCGAAGGAAAAGCTTTTACGGCGCCGACGGGGGCAGGTTAGTTTTCGGGTGGAAGTGGCGGACGCTGCGGGTTCTCGGTTTTAACTTCATCGACAACTAATCGGGCGTGTGTAAAGCGGTAGCGGCGCCGACGCTGAGGGGGTTGCGAGGAGACGACGAAGACGACGGCGGCGGCGGCGGCGGCTAGGACGGCATATATTTACTGTACACGCCGCGGAAGAGCGGAGGCAAAGGCGGTTTTAATTCGTTCATTTGCAAACTTGTAATCGGCTCAGGTCTTGCCATTACCGCCGCCGCCGCCGACTCAACAGGGGTCGGATGGAAGGGCGTAGTACCGAGCTCGATTTGTTCGCTTCATAGTACACCCGCGTCGTGATGAATTTGCCGACTGGAATTTCGCCGAGGGATTAATAATGACACAGGGGCTCTGCCGAAATCCAATCACGTCCCGTGTCTCTTCTTTACAAACTCCCTCGCTTTCGGAACGTGTTTTGATAACTATCTTTTCTTCTTTTATTTACAACACAATCTCGCTCTCGCCCCCTAAATCGTTGTCATCAGTCTAACGCGCGCACACACACACACACACACACACACTGTACGTACGCTAGCAGCCGACGACGGCGGCGGCGGCGGCGCTGTTCGTTTTGGACGGGATCGTTTATCTCCTTTGTTGCCGCGCAGGCCGGGACGACGATGCCACGACAATAACAATGAAAGTAATAATAATAGAGACAGTTCACTTTTATGGCGCGAGGGATATAAAAACGGCATGTTTCATGGCGCATATAAAAGTTTCGAAAACCACACAATAAACATTACCGTTTATGTATCGTTTGGCACAAACCTGGAACGATTTTCGACCGACCTCAATTTGGCCATCAAACGTTTTTTATTTTATGTATGTGTAATTTTTTTACGAAGATATTCCACAGAAAAACACCACACGTCTGTTTTCGCAGACCGCGCAAAAACAAACATACGACCCTCTATTATTGATGCGATTATTTATCACGACAAATATCTGTAATATGCCGCCAATAAAATGCACATTTTTCTGTCAGAAAATTATCACGGATAAAATATATATATGATAAATTTTCAAAGAAAATTACTCCCGGCGATCTACAAACATAAAACGATTTACGGTTAAATTCTAATAACCGCAAATGCAACACTAATGGACCGTCGTCTGATTATACTAACGAAAAATCAAACGCGAAGACAACATAACGAATGTCAACAAAGTCGCATTTAATATGGAAAATGTATCAATTAAATATAAAAACATCGTCTCCGAGATACTATACAATATTCAATCAAAATTGTCTTCATAGGTTTCATTATTACGGCATTGCACTTACAGTTAAAGGGGAAGTGTAGTGGTTCACTGGTTTTCGAAAATGAAAATCAGTTGAACTTTTCAATATTTCATTTTACACCACGTCACAAATACAATGAGCGTCGAAACATACACATGATGTCTTTGATGAGTATTAATTTCGATTGAATCAAACGCGCGGTCGGAGGGCACGTTTTAATAAAACCCGCGGTAAGCCGCTCTCTCCCTACAAATCGCTACTGCTGCTGCTGTTGCTGCTGTTGTTGTTGTTGTTGTTGTTGTTATACTATTCGGCTGCGGTTGTTTCGGGAAAACTCAATTTATCGTTGCCCGCCACAGCGTCTCTTGTTTACCGAAGAAACGGTGGGCCGGAGGGTGCTTTTGTGGGTAAGAGGATAACAGAAACCCCTCGCGGTAATACCTCGGAGATTAGCCGCTTCGCGTTTGAAATTAACCCTACGAACCACCGCCCGGCTATCGTTAATGGTTCCGATTACAATAATTACACACGTCACCCCTTCGCCCACACGCCGTCCCTCCCTTACAACTATCTCCCCCTTTCGCGACGCGCACACACGCCCTTAACATCCAATCTGTTACATTGATAATTAAACATCCGAAGGGTCTCAAATCTATCAGCTCCCGCGCAAAAAAGCCTCATCATGCGAAATTAATAGACGATCTAATTTCAAATATGATCGAAGATCTAACGAGATTCTATCAGCTGATGTCGTCATCGAAACGATATACTCGAATATAAATCGGAAGTGCGAAAAAACAGATAAACATTCAATACGATAAAAAAAAATATATTAAATAAGAACCAGAGGAAAAAATATCGACTATTCAAGGTGTAACAACCGCGAGCGTGTTTTAAAATAAATTACATTGTACGATTTTTTTTTTTTCGTTTTCTTACTCGGATGTAATGGAACGAAAAACACGAGACGTAATGGAGCGAATCGCATAATGAATTTTACAAGTACATTAAAACAGATAAAAAGCTGCCGAGAAATAAAACTCATTTGTCGTAGAAAGACATTCATGAATCATTGTCGCAGATTAGACGAGCCGAGTATATAATAATAAAGCAAACGAGAAGATTTATAACGGTAAGCCGATGAACAGTTTCGGGGGATGAGCGTTCGGTGCACCTAAAGGTATTAGCAAAGTTCAGCCCACGACAAAATAGAAATCAATAAGTGTTTCATTTTCAGATTTATTTTTCTAACGGCAAAGGATTTCCAAGATTACATTTTGCTTGCACTACTTTATAAAACACACAATACGAATCACGTGCGTGCACACGATCTGCAGACAACGCATAAAACGTCAACGGAATCTTACAGAGAACTTTTTTTTTTTTACTATTTTTATGACTTTGTCGACGTCGTTGTAATCAGTTCCCTGACAGTCTTGTTTCGTGTTATTGTTTGATTTATCCTCCGCGCCGGCCATTCGTCGATTTCCTTTCTCACGCACACACTACGGCGGTACGAAGACCCGCCGCAGCCACTACCCTATGAACAACACAACTATCTTCTTTTTTTTTTTTTGCTATGTACATATACACGCCCGCGCACGTATAGTATACAGCTGGTTTATTCCCCGAGAAGGGCCAACCGAGACTGGTGATGAAACGGACCGGAAAATAACGTAACCGCATACTCCCTTGACGTAGGGCGAGGGGATCGATCTCTTCTTCCCTATTTTATCGTTGCTCCCTTAAACGAGTTTATATCCTTCCCCGTTTTCTGCCATCGCTGCTACTACACCACTACACGCACCGGTGAACGTTCGGCTATAATGCCGGGGAAGAAGAGAAAAATAAAAAGACACAACCTCGATTTTTCTACTTTCTTCGCAGCGCTCACGGGGGAGAATGGATCGGTTACACAAGCGAGGGGTTCCTAAGACGGATTGTTGGAAAGTAAAGAAATACCTCTAGTGGAAAAAAGTACTAATACCCGATTATCGTAGATTTCCTATCTTACGAGCTTTCTTTTCTTTTTTTTTTTTTTTACATCTCTCCGACTAGCTTTTTCAATATGCAAAAAAATCGTAGATGACAGCCCGTGACTTTAACAGAGCGTACGAAACACGCGGGAAACCTCTACCGCCACACATCATTATTTCGACGTGATTTCATCTATAAATATACGACAGCCATTTATATTCATTTGGCTTTCCACGACAATTGTGGGCGTATTCGTAAGCTGTGCCGGGTCTCTGGTTAGGAAGTAATTGGAAACCACCACCACCACCACCACCACACATTATTCGTCGATCCGACCGTATTAGATTACCATCGCCGCGGTGTTGTTATTATTACACATCCCTCGCGGGGTACACAATTGTGACCGCCGCCGCCGCGTTCTCGACAAATGCACACGAGGGTCGTTCGTATGCGCTGTGGTGTCTATTGCGCGTTGCTAAGCCCGAGGGCGAAAAAGAAAATAAAGAGCGGTCACCGGTTACGATGGATCGCGCACACGAGGAATTAATAACACTGTTGAAAATCACGACGGAAGGGAAACGTACTATAAAACGCGATGGGGGGAGTTGTTTGCCGGAGAAAGGAAAGATAATACAATGAATAGGGTACAAGCAAAAACGGGGTGGCGGCAGCGATCCCTATCGAATTTGACACGCATTTAAATTCGTGGGGAGTAAAGCGACGACCAGATGACATATACATATGGATGAGGTTCGTTATTACACGCACGGGGCGTACACATAATACATACGTATTCAGATGCGCACGTACACCGGAGGGTAGACGGCGGCGGCGGCGGTAAAAGGTCGTATAGGCGTCCCATACACCAGGGCTACTACTGTTTGTTTGACGGATCTTGCAGGCGCGGGGGTTGGTTCAACTACTATAACAAGGCGTCCCTTCATTAAGTACTGTCCTGGGTGCATTAATTTAATTTCAACCCCATTGTTCGGTGGCATACGGTACACACGCACGGTATATTTACACACACGACGGGGAGAGTAAATGTTTGTCATGGTTTGCCGCCCAAAAAGATTTATCCCTTTGTGCTGATACGACGACGATGCTTTTAAGTAAACGTCTGTCCGGAAACAACACACACATCAAAGCGTAGGCAAACTTGTATGTACTCACGTGTCTTTCTTCGGCAGCGCTCAGTCCTAAAAAAATAAAAACACATTAACATCAATACACTCGGCGTACCTAATCGTTTTGTTTATACAAACACAGTTTTGCGGTATATAATTATGTAACTAATACACAAACAATGGTATTAACGATTAACGCCGCGTGCGTGCAAACGTACGTGTGAAGGGACTGTTGAATTGTAATCGGAAAAGGCGGCGGCGGCGTCAAAAAAAGTACAATATCGAAACAATAACCATGTGTTTTTGTGGCGATAAAAAAAAATATCGAAAGAAAATTACAACAGTATTCGGACCGGCCAGCGTAAAACAACAATGCGTAACAGTAAATCGTATCAAACCGGGAATTTCGGTCAACAGATCGACCGCAACACGCGAGTCAAAGTAGACGCGTACAAACGAATACGCTTTTTCGCGTACCCTTGACCCGAATGCTGCTGCGGACAAATTATACGTCACATAATGTGCAGCATTATTATCAATAAAGCGCAACGTGCGTTACACGGTCAGTATTCAGTAACCCCTCCCCAACCCCCATCTTCCACGATTGTCGACGGCAGCATTAATATTAAACGAACCGAGTGATCCGGAAAAAAGGGACACTCAAAGGGTGCGCCGACCCTCCCCCCAATGTAATCGCGCACAAAGAATCGCCGAGTAACTTTATTTCGAGTGGAACGCGACAACGTGTTGTTGTGTATAAAATAATAATACGGCAACGAGCGGACAAGGCTGCCGTGGGGTTGTACAAGTACGGCTTTCTTCTATATATATATATATACACGCGAATAAATGATTAAAGCCCCCTTTTTTCCACTACACGAGCATTTACGGTCTACTTGAGCGCACAACACCCTTCGAAACGGCAACGACAGCAACAGCAAAGGCACTTCCTTTGACGGACGCGACCCTTGTACGCGCTAAAGTTGTCATATCAGTCTCTAGAGGTTGAGTGCACATTAACGCGGGTACACATTATTAGTGCACTTCACGCCGACGCTCGTTGAAAACGCGGGAGGGATAATAATTTTGTACTAGATTATTTTTTTTTTTTTAAGCGGATTAATACAAATGAGTGTTTGGAAGACCACACGGTCAGGCGTCGTCGTAGTATGAGTAAAAAAAAAAAATGAAATCTAATTATAAACGTTAACCGCCTTCGATGAGATACAAACAACAAAATAACGGAGTGATCCAGAACATTTTTAGATCCTACAACATAGTCGACTCTATAATCTATCGTCTAAACCGATACTATCACTTGATAATTGAATAGTTTGAGTTTTAAATGATTTTTCTAATGTAATCAAATTAACCGCGAAATTTTATAGCAGGAACTTACGTGATTGATATAAAAAACTATCGAACGGCAAAAAAGGCCTCAATTCGTCGTGTAAAATCTATCCGTAAATAAAATTACCGAATCCAATCGATTTAAAACAATAATTTACATTATTTTATATCGCATTCCGCTTTGATTTATCATCTACCCAGTTTTTTATTTTATCATTGTCACGTTGAACACTTATTTTAATTTTAATTATTTATAACTTACCAATAGCCGAAGATGGCTTGTCGACGTCAGCGCCCCTGTGCAAATCAGTCGGTTTGGCGCCCAACATGGACAACGGATGACCGGCTCCTCCGGCAGCACCAGCCAAGCCCAAAAGGCTAGCAGCAGCAGTTACTGGTGGTCCAGGTAGACCCGGATGAGGCATCATCGGAATCGGTGGCGCGTGGGCAGCGTGCGGCAACTGTTGAGCGTGCATTTGTTGCTGTAATTAGTAAAAATATTAATGGAATACACAGTTTTTTATTTTCGCTACACGATGGCAAATTATTTAACGTAGGATGTCGGTTGTGTAAAGAAAGCCGCTAAAAAATAACGAATTCTATATGTGAGAATTAACGATATTGTAATGGAGTTTTTTGTCGCGGAGTGTACTTTGGGTCATTATAATAGAATAAAAATGTATACTTAATAAATATTATATATTTCGCTTACCAATAACCTGGGCAGATCTGGTCGTTGTTGCTAAAAAAAAAAATAACAAAAAAAACCATATTATAATAAACGTTGTTTAAACCGCCTATTTATTATTGTGTTCGTTATTACACGAGTTCACACGCCCTCTCCACCGTTACAACTACTTTTACTATACTATTACATAATTAAATACACAACAACCCTTATACACCCGCGCTCGTGTCGACTACGGACGCATAACATTGAAATACATGTAGGCACATTATCATTATTATTATCATTATTAATTACGTATTGTTCACGGGCTTCGCGTTGTACATGTAGTTCAGTTTTCCAAGCAAGGGTAACAAAAGTCAAATATTGACACGAAACTCGGTAGTTATTATTAATTGTACACTTCGGCCCCCGCCCATTCCTCCATCGCAAAAACCCCGCCATTATCCTTCGAGGGTCAACAAGATACGTCGTTATTGGACTTTTTTAATAGTGCGCCATTACACAGTCGCACGGCGTGTTTTTCACGATACGTTCACAATACTTTTGTTCCGCGGCCGGTTCCCTTTAGATAACATTCAATAGATAAACACCACACCCGTATTAGCATTCAACGGCCCGCAAACAAACCGCTTTGTTCAAACATACTCGAGCTGCACGCACAACACGACATGAAAAAAAATAACCCCGTTCGAGTGGCATTATCGTCGCAGAGGGTTTTTTCAAGTGCCAAGCCGAAAACGTTTTTTTCCGGTGCGCATTGGACAGGCGGCCGACCGAGAAAAAAAATATTCTGATTAAACCAAGTACTAACAATGGAATCGCCGGGCCATAAGCCTCCACCACCGTGTTGTTGGCACGATAATTTGTGTTTTTCTTTTTCAAAACACTCGACTGAAAAAACCCTCATTTTTAATAAAAGGGGTCAAAAGTTCTCGTCGAGAGCTTCTCCTCTCCGTTCGACACTACGGAATGTAAAGTTAACGACCGAGCCGTGTGTACATTACGATAAAAATTCAAAACAATATTAAACATAGCAAAAAAGATTCATAGATAGGAGATTGTGTCAAACCATTTCGACCTTTTTGGAATTGTAACACAACGCGTAAATCGTTTGCGATAGAATACAGCGTTTTATTGAACAAATTAAACGCAAATAGCGTTTAAATTAACAATTTGTTTAACCTCTTACGTGCGTTTCAAAATTAAAATAAAAAATATCTTAGACAGAAGTAGTACGTATTTAACTAGGCACACAACGTATATTCCCACGTCATTTCATATTTCTACACGTTTGTAGAACGTATTGGCTGAATTTATTGCATTTAATTAGAACAGTTTAAAAAAAGGAAGAATAAAAGGGACCACAAATTGTCCTAGCAATATTATCGCAGTACTAATAATAGCAGCACAAAAAACACATACCATTCGAGTAAACAATGAGCAAATGGTTTTTTTCTCGTCAAAACAAACAAAAATTTGCCCAAAAATAATAACTTATTTGCTCTGCGGGTTCTTGCTGTTAACTAACAAACACAAGTGCTCGTCTGAGATATTATTGTAACGCGGTAAATCACGCATGCATAATAATTGTTTTTTTCAGCTCGTCGTTAATCATTCACGGAGTACAACCGGAGGCATCTGGCGGCGGTGTTTAGGGGGCGGGGAGGTGAGCTGTCAGCTGCGGCAATAAGAAAAGGGCTGCCGTAAAGACGGATAATAATTACCGCCTAACCGAGTGGGTAAGCCGAAAAACCGCTTGCAGGAGATTCGAGCGCAATTAGCACAAGCTTTCAGCCCACCCCAGGCCGTCTCCCCCGCATCGTCACCGGTGCCGAGAGTGTATGTACGTGTACCGAATCCCTGCGCAGTCATTAAAATATTGTTCGAAACGACCGCCGGGAGAACGATATAGTGTTGATCGTTACAGAAGCCGAGATGGCGGCGTCGACTGTCTCCTAACGCCGTGCGCATTATTTTATTGTTGTGTATTTATGTGAGTGTATACACTTTAACATGCTACCGGTAGAGTAAACACGATGATAATTATTATCCTTGTAGGCGATCCGAGACGACATACTGCTGAGGGGGGTGGGTAGACCGTGACTAAACGCTAAACGTTGGAATTCGTTGTAATGATATACGGCAGCGTCGGCGGCGGATCGTGAAATGTGTGCATTCGGCCTGGACACGATTTTATTTTTTACAATTAGTTTGTTTTTTTAACTCAAAAAAATTAATTACCAGTGTGCGCGTAAACCGGAACAAATCAAGCCGCTAACGTGAACGGCAAAACAGAACAGATACACTGCTCGAGGATTATAAACGCAACCTCGGGTCGCCGACATATATATTTATTTATTGTTACACATGTTATTTGTACGGCACAAACTTCGAATGCAGGAGGGGGGGGGCGACAAAAAGACAATATCGTTCAAGCTCGTTATACGCTATGATCCCTACCTACTCCCCAACTCATCACAACCGTCTCGGGTACGGTTCACGCCAAGGTGTATCTATCCAATTCCCCACGTGCCGAGTGTACCCAGTACACTACAGGAATTGAAGCCTCATACAATATTCAACGCGCGTTGCTTTATATACAACACGACTATACGACGAACTTCCGACACAAACGTGACCGGACTGCAAGCCGAAGCACTCACGATTTCCGTATTTTCTTCCCTGTAAGCTGTGATAGAAAAAGGGAGAGGAAAACCCAACTTCTACGCGGTATCTTTTTAAATTGCGACGGTTGCCCGATATTTAAACACGAGTATTCGTCTGGCCGCTAAACTAAGAACATACTAACGTTAAGACGATGTGCCCGTGAACAAAAAAACGTCTGCAATACTTTAAGAGGATGCCGCGCCTACTTTCGTTTTGGAAGCACTAAAAAAAAAGTCTTTTCCCTGTGTATATTGTACTTGATAAAGTATTTCCTTTTTTTTTTTTTTTCATTCTCTCGTTTCAAAATGTAACTCACTTAGTGTGTAAACTCAACGCAACAAAACTGTTATACCACTTAGCGAAAAAGAAAATTATTTGCCTTTTGCAAATACAGCTGTATCAATAATTGTCTCTAAAAGACGCTTTTCTTTTAGAGAGAAAACTTTTACTGTTTTCCCTTGCAAAGATTTCTACAGGGTTAATATATTTATGATGAAAATAACAACAGTTTTTGCACGTAAAAGTCATCTCGCACACAAAAGACACACAAACGTAATCACTGAATTGTATCGTGGTCGGTTTAATCACACCCTATAGGAAAATACGCGTTCAGCATCCTCTAAATTACAAACGTAGCACCGCCAAGGAGATTTCTCTGTACATTTAATGATATTCACAGTGTTTAATAGACCCAGAGGTTATAAGAACCGACTGAAATGATCAATGCAATCCAAATTATTATTCTTACCCCGATAATGGCGTTGAGTTCAGTCATGGTCACTTGTTTCGCTCTCTCGACCGCAGTAGCTACTTGCTGTTGATGCTGTAACAATAAGTACACCGTGTTATAAGAGTAACAAAGTTATTATACAACGTTACGTCGACCAAAGCGGTCACTTTAAAAACTGTAAGATTACAATAATAAATAAACACTCACCTCCTGCGAGAGGAAAGGCATTATCTGGGCGATAATGGCGTTTAGACGCTTGGCTATCTCCGTCTGTAAATAACAAACCACATGGTAATTATTATAAAATCATTTTAGAAAATTCCAATCAGCACATTTAGAACGTGTACACGGTTTTAAAATACACAGCTGCTGAGCCCGTTTAACGATGAGAAATAATTGCAGTTGGCTTAAGAACCGTTTTTTTCTATTTATAGTACTTTTCATACATAGGAAAATGCCACCCTTCGATACCGTCGCAATCGTTTACAAGAGGGGTTGTCGGTCGAGGGTTGCCAACGGAAAGATCTCAGTGCGCGTTATCGCCCCCCTTTTCTTTCCTCGCATCCATCCCTACCCAACCAGCCAGAGGACGGCGGTAGATAGCGGAAAACCCGTCAAGGCTCGAGTGTTTCGCGGGATATAATGTTTTCCTTCGGGCTTTGCCACTCGACACAAGTGGGGCCGCCGTCACTTTCCTCCCGTTCTCCAGAGAGAGAGAGAGAGAGAGAGAGTTCGCTAGCAAACGACCCTTGTAATATGTGCGAACTCCCAGGGTTTTAATAGCCAAAGAGCCTGGCCGCGTTTGTTTCGCGAATGCTTACACACACACACACACACATAAATAAACTCGTCCAGTTCTCTCTGGGGCTTACTCGTACGCATAGCCTTTTTATACACCTCTTCTTTATCTCATCGCGGTCTCCAGGGTTTTTTCTTTTTTATTTATCTTTACTCTCGGTTCCTTGAACTTATCCGACGGTAGCCGAGTATATTGCACATTAAATAGGTCAACTATGAATGTATTTCACAAAAGTGCACCGTGTACACAAGACGGTCGCTGTCTCATTGCGTGCGACGATGACATAAATCTGCGTACCGTATAATTGAATAAATAACAACGGGTACGTTCACACTCTAAACTTTGCGTTTGCCATCAATTACTCGACACTTTATATACTCCGTGTCACACACACGTTGAAAAATCACTCAAACCCAATTCCTCTCCGCTCACCGCCAGTCTTCGGCGACGTCCCTTTGAATTCGGCGTAAAAATGGAGGGATTATAGGGTCTACTAGACTGACTGCTCGGTCCCTCGTATACACTTACAATAAAAGTGAAGTTAATCGCAGGCTCGTTATAAAGAGCGAGAGTAAAAAGAATCCAGAAGGGTGGCAAAGATTACGTTGTGTTGAATGATGATAATAATAATAAAGCAAAGCGGACACTGGGGTGGAAAACTGTCCGGGCGATTACTCCTCCGAAATGAATTTAAAACCGACGCCAAACTGCGAGGATTGAGAGAGTAATTCTTCTCTCTTACACTCTCTCTCCCTAGGCGACCCGTAGTCTGGGCGCACCCTCGCCGCATTGTACCAGTGTATTTGGTGGCAATACAAAACGAAATATTAATTCGGTCGAATGGCGGTTTTAACGACCCCCTTTTGCCAGAAATTTGCACTACAGTAAAGGGATTTGAATACGACAACAACATAAAGGAAAAAAATCCACAGGAACTCAGCGCGGGTATACATACAAACAACAAAAGGCACGGGCATGTACGAATAGGGTAATAGGCTAACGGCAAAACGTTTTAAGAGATTTGTGACGTTACCACGTCATTATGGTGGAGTAATAAAAAACAACTATGTACACGTTCCTTATTTATTTTTTTTAACATAATTTAAATCGCTCGCCTGTTTGTGCATTTCCACGTTGAGGCCATAAGACATCTCGTAGTACTGTAAAAAATGTACAAATTGAATAAATCAAATAAAAATGATTAAGAGCTCTTTAATAGCTTGTAAATTTGTTCTACACAAAGTCTTAACAAGTCTTTTAATGGTGTCGTTATTGAATAACAACGTTAAACCCATGGCAAAAAATTACTTTCAGTACTGCTACTATTATGTTAAAGGATTATTTATTTTTTATAGAACGATTAAGATTTAATAATTTTTTTTTTTTTTTTTTTGTGGTACTGAAGCACTTTAAAATCGTTCACATTAATGATATATTTTTTTAAGACTCTGTCTAGAAAATGTTCAACATCATATAACTTTTGTAATAAGTAGCATAAAAAGAGCGCTGAGATAATTTTTGCAATAACTTTTATTTGCATTAAACGTTTTAAGATGTCAAAAATATGCGGCTGAATTAATAATGTAAAAACAATGACAGCTGAAATGTCTGGTGAAGCAAACAACGCCAGGAGTACAAAACACACAAATGAAAATCACCTTGGTTTAAACGTTCTTCTATTGACAACGCAATTGATCAAATATAAGTATTTTTTTGTTTAGCGATTGGGAATTAAACTTTTTTCTTTTAAGTAAAAATAAATATTTTTTGGTTTGTGTCGACACCTTTCAAAAAAATATATCATCGTGTATACTCAAGAGAGTAACGGGATTTGAGAAAAAAATTAACTTCTGCACTCTTTTTATGAACACATTCGTCGCTACTCTAAGTTAAAGCAAAACATGTAAAATTAACACGCTACATATTATTATTCTATTGTATTAGTTTTTATTAAAGCATACAAAAAACACACGGATAGTGCTAAAGCTCAACGAAAAGCACCTTTGGCTTTACAGTGTGTTGTACGCATGCGTCCATGTCGATATATGATATGATAAGCAAAATATGAGGTTTAAATAAAAATAAAGGTGAACACTACAAGCGTCTGCCTCCTACTCACCATTACGTAATGCCTTTGCATTTCGGTTTTTTCTTGGACGATTTTTTCGACTTCCATTTTGGTACTGTATTATATAATGTAATATTTTGATGGCGAGGGACAAACAAAAACAAACCCAAAAAATAAACAAGCAATGTTAGTATATATATATATATAAAAAAAAAAAATTATAATAAAAATAAAAATAGTATTACACAGAGTGTTCTACGTCGTTTTGAAAAATCAAATTACTTTTAATCTATTGAATATTTTGCGTTACTTTTTTAAAATTATTTTTATACTTGGCACAATGTAAATATCAAAAGAAACAATATTTTTTTACTTTATTGAAGAAAATCTAGATATCAATTTTTTAATGACGATTTTAAGATAAAGATTGGGTAAATCATATCTTATTAATATTCCTTAGTAAAATACCCATGGAATTAAAAAAAAATTTTTTTTACGGTATCAAACATATTAAAAAGAAAGGACAAAAGAAATTGGAACTATTGGTGGAATGAAGTATGTAAATTTCCATAAAAATAATTATAATATTACTTTTAACATAAAGTATCGCAAAATATTTAGTAAATCAAAATTATTAAATTTGACAAAAAATCGTAGACAATCCTGCATAAGTAAATAACAAAATTTTAACATTTTATTGACAAATAAAAATCAAATAAAAAATTGTTTGAATTTATTTAAACGCTCGAATTAAAAATTAGTATTAATCTATTGTTTGCCCTAGTACCTTTAGAACAGTTATATTTGCATGTATGTATGTGTATAGTATGTGAAGTAATTAAAATAACTTCCATTGTAAGTAAATATAAACAAAATCCGAAACGTTTTTACAAAAATATACTCAAAAAAAAAAAAAAAAAATGGCACACACATACTATTTAAGTTTCCCATTGCTACTGTAATGCATTATTAAATTATTCCTATTAATAACGTAATGCGCTATTGGTACAATAATAATAAAACAAGTATTTGGCTGGCGAAATCGCAATTGTAGTGATGATGTCGGCGGCAGAGTGTTATTTGTTTTTTGTTAATAAACACAAGTGAGAACCAAAACGCAAACAGCAACCAGCAGGCATACTCGTATTTATATACACGCCGGTTAAAGTTTAATTAAATTATAATTCAAATGAACTATAAATAAAACTATAAATGACGAAAAAAAAAAAAAAACATGTATATTGGCTACCCTAGGGTTAAAATAAACAAAAAAAATCGGTATGTGCAGTTAAGTGCCAGGGTTGTTTATGACTTAAATAAAGCCGATGAATAATATAATACATAAATGAAACAACGACAATTGTATACAGCACACAACGGTCAGTACGGCATTTTTTAAGCATTGCGTATAACAGCGGTCGTTCATGCTATACATGTAGATAATTAATTGGCCGGGACCTTCACGCTCACTCACCATTACGTAATGCCTTTGAATTTCGATTTTCTCGCTGGCCAATTTTTCACATTCCATTTTCAGGCTGAAAACGTGATACATATACATATATAAAGGTACACGTCGTGTATTATCCTTCGTAATCGACAAGCCCCCCCCCCC